TGATTCTCCAACCTGTAGCCAGGTTTAGGAAAACTGGTAAACTTCAAATTGCGGAAGTTGCCTGGTGGACAATTATATTAAGAAAGTTACTATTTGGCATTGAGCACCTCTACTGAGACTGGAATTGTAGAGCAGTGTGACTGCTGAATTATTGCTTTAGTTTAACACCAGGAGAGTGATTCCTTTGGTTGTGATCAACTATCGTGATCGATCGGTTGTTCCCGAAATCCATAAACAACTTTGTTAAAATATAGAGTAAGTCGTGTTTATCACGCAATAATGGTCCTCTCGTTTGAGCATGTTTGGTTCTTTTAAAAAAGGTTATTATCGGAACGTGATGAGTTTTTTGTTTGGTCAATTCATGAGAAGCGTTTTTTATTATGTCGCGTGACTTCAGCTTTCGACCAATATGCGTATTATGAAAAGCGCGAGAAAACAAAGTTAGTCGCTCGCGTATAAACCTCGAGCTTCTCAACTTTATGAACTCCATGGTACGGCAATCAATTTTGACAAACTCTTTATACACTATCTACGTCCTGGCTTTCTGCTGCTAAAGATGTAACGAAAGTTTTCTATGCATACTGTGCATGAACGAGCACTAGAAGGCGAAACGCTGAAATTTACCCTCGAGCATGCACACCTTAAGGGGATAATTGAGTGTGGCAGGAGGAAAAAAATCCTAAAATGTCAACTATCGTCTTTGTTAAACAAATATTTCATTTGAACCACCTGATTTTGCCTCAAGCTTAGTTAGAACTTCCTTTCTGGGGTGGATCATTAATAACTTATGCCATAGTTCTACCAACTCGCTGGAATACACAAATTCAGTCCTCGATTTAGGTTTTTTGAAATATGGACCAAACCTTAGATCAACTTTGGAGCTGATTGTGCAAAAAAGTCAGGTTTTTCCACAGATAATATGTTAAGTGCTAAGTTTGAAGCACTGTTCTAACGATACGTTTTGTTGCTCGCTGTGACGAGTTAAAAGGTTTCTTTACCAAGAATAAAAAAGCTTTTCTCCTGTATAAAGTTTTTGGCTAGTCTTTTCTCTTTAGATACTCCAATAAGCGCCCCTTGTTTTTGAATTTAGATGAAATAATTCATTATATTTGATTTTAGTAGGAGAAGCTTGTGAGATTATTGCAAGGTTTAGCCGTTATCAACAAAAAAATTCAAAAAAACGTAATTTATCGCCTCGGTAAACATTGAAATATACTCAAACCATAGCGAAGTCATAACTGTGGTAAAATCTTACCTTGTCCTTCCGGAATTAGGGAGGCCAAAACAATGAGAACGAAGTAGTAGAGTACAGAGAGCATGTTTTCAGAAAACACCAGTTATAACTCTGGCGAACAGCCACAGATAGTTTTTCAAACATGAGAGAAACATCACTCAAATATGACAGGTCAAGTTTGATCTCTGTTTAAATACTCCACTCCTTTATTAT